CTCGGAACACCGAACGATCAGGCAAAGATGTTCTTGAGGTCGCTTGCCTTCCGTTTTCTCCCCACCGAACAAGTAGGACAGGCAGTGAGCGAACTTTGAACTCGTCACCGTCATCGGGCAGTCCTTGTCCGCTTTGTAATGCACCGAGGCGGTTCTTGGTCTTCCAGCAAATCAGCAGCGACTGTTTCGCCCACGCAATTTCACGTAACGTCGAACGCTTTTAACGCAGACGGACAGGTGCTTAGGCGTAGGCGCTGCTTCTCCAGCATCTCTTTGCATTTCAATGACGGAGCCTCAGTTCTTCTCATCACGCGCGCTGATTGCGCCCGTGTGTCATCCCACCGAACCCCTGTTTTACGTTATTTTCGGAATTTTAAATGCCTAAGCGAGCAAGAAGACGGCACATGAATAGATTAATAATTACATTATAATGAATCGTGTGCCTAAATCCAGTCCAACAATTCATTTTATAAATACAGCTGCAAAGCTACGGGTCTTCTCGTAATGGCAGACGTGACTTTTAAAAAAAATTCATAATATTTAATTTCATTCGTGCAGTAGAAAAACTTTTCAGTTTCAAACAGATTATAGGGCTGTATAATACGTCATTAAAGTAGAGTTCATTTTAAGAAAAATTCAGGTTCAAGACCTAATTTTACGATGTAAGCATTTCCTTATATGTTTCTGTCTGTGAAGAAAAGTGGACATACCTGATTGAGGTTTCAGGTATAACGGCGGCCCAGACGTCTCTAAAACAGGAATCCTGAAATGTTTTCCTTGGAAAATTAACCACCACACAGCGGGAAGTTCTCCAAATAACTGCGATGTGACTGTATTTCTTAATACTGGAATTGAACCCTTCGACCGTGTTCCAGAAGGGACGTGCGTGCGTGGCAAATGCGAAGGGACAACGATCTCGTGAGTCACTGAACTATCGGAGACATTGAACTCGCCAGAATTGTCTTCACTTGGATTAAGAGTTGGCCCTGGAGGGTCGATAAGATAAGACGGACTTCGTACTCCTTGAGCGCTCACGAAGACCTCGAAAGAATTGACTAGTCCTCGCATGTCGTAGCGGAAGTGAGCACAGCCAAATTGGCTATTAACAGCAGAAACAGCCTTGCCCCTGCTGTTTGGTTACTCGTTTGCCGTGATCTTGAATATAGGTGTCAGGGACTCTGTAATTCCTACCTTGGGGAAAAAAGAGTTCTGCGAGTTACATTGTGAAATGGTAAACAAGTTTCGAAATCAATAAGCTAACCCCCAGAGCACGAATTTCGCAAAAGGAATTTTTGTAACTTGTTCCTTGAAATTAACGTTTTCTGTCATAAACTTTATTGCAAAATTTTTGACAGGGCGTCAGATTTGAAATACCTGCCCATTTTAAAGAAGTTTGTGTTGTTCTGCCCGAGGTACCTCATCAAGACCTCACACACGATTCATTAAAGACATGTAATACGACTCCAGGAAGTTACACGTGTCTGTATTTTATAACAAGATTATTGTACACTTCGGGTGACAGAAGATTCTATTTTTCTTATTTCTTTAGTAGTTAAGATGCGAGTAAGAACTTAGTGCTCATAAGGGGCCATGGTTCTACCTTCAGATGTCTTAGATCTCAGGCAGGCCGCACCCGGGATGGGCAATGCTCGATATGGTGTATTTGTCACGAACATTTCCACATTCACGGAATCGAAAAGAAATTTTCCGAACAACATGGTAGACGTGCCTGCTTACCGCCGCGGTCCACAGCTCGCATTTGGAAATTAACAGCTCAGGCGCCCTGTTCCCAGGTTTTGGAAAGGAAACTGGTTTCCTAATAGGATTCCACGATTTTCCTCAGTTCCTCACATACCCCCTTGTTAATTTACGATAAATAGGCACACAGTTTGATACCGCGTCATTAAATAACCCGCGAATCTACCAGTTATGCGAAACCGAAATTTTCACAGCGCACGAAAACTATAAAATCGAGGCGAGAAGATTTATTTCGGAGTCGGTGTTCTGCCGAAACGCACCGCTCCGGGGTCTCGACTGCAAGTCGTATCACGAGGCCTTTCCACCATTGCGGGCAACACCCACGGCGACAGTAAACTACGCCGTGTCGCCGCAAATGCTCTTCGGAGACAGTCGCATGTCTGCAGCCTGACACCTGCCTCAGGGATTCGAATGCCATTCGTTTTAATCGTGGAAAACGCCCTGACTTGATTGATACATCGCTTCATTGACGCTAAGTCCATGTCCTTGAGAAGCTAGTCGTCGCTTAGGTAGTCAAGAAATTTCCCTCCTTGTATGGCGCCAGAAGATTCGTTACGTTGTTCGCAAGAGACCGCCACTGATGTAAGATGCATTTTAATATTATCCACATTCACTTCAGATTTCCTGACAAAAATTTCGTCGCGGTTTTTCGTGTCTGCGGTGCGTCATAAACATCGCCGTTTCGTCGTCCTATGGCGAGGAGCACGAATTATGAAGGCCCTCGTCACGCAATTTTTGCCATAATCCAGATATTCACCTCAGCGCCTGTCGTCAGACAACTTTAATGTAGGATCCGCCTTCAAGGAGAGAAACCAAGACTTTGCTTTAACCCTTACGTTTTCAAGTGAATGGAACGAGCGTTATCCAAAATTTGCCGAGATCGGTGATCTTTGCTGTAGTTTGCCAACGACACCGGAAGTTGCCCGCGTGTTCAAAAGATTCGTCCGTCACCTGTCTTAACGTTATCTCTCGTGGTTTTACCCAGCATTACTGTGAGCAAATGACGGCACAAAACCTGCGAGGGCGGAGCTCGCCGGAATGTGGCGTGATTCTAACCCGCTCCGAGGTTCCTAGGGCTTCCCCGATGACAGAAGGAACTGGGTCACGACTTCACGTGCAAGGATTAATGAACTACTTGGACAATCGATAGGAATTATTTGTACGTAGTTCTAAGCACGAGCTGCGCCAGTGAGAAACACTTGTCAGCGAATAATGAGTCCCGATAATATTCCACAAATTACTTCACTTGCAGAAAACAGGGCAGAGATCAAACCAAGCGATGACCGTGAGCCAGTGAATTATCTTCCACGTCTGATAAAATTTAGTTTTCTTAATAATTAGAAGAGAAATGAGTTTGTAATCGGCGTCAAGTTTCTTTGCATCGACACTGTATCAACTGCTGAGTGCACGTACGACAGAATAGATGATAATGACATAGTCGCTCGGGTAGGAATCGGAGCGCACGTGTTCGTAGGCAAGTTTAAATTGAACGAACAGTAACACGGGTAGGCTTAGGCCTTGTTCCAGCTCGGGCCTGCGGGATCGAATGTCGAGAAACGAACAGGGCAGGAAGCCCACTTTACCGCGAGCTTTCGTTTGCCGTGTACTTACAGAAAGGATGTATTCGTCTGTCGAATGCATGAAACTTAAAAGCGGCACATCGACGTGGCAGCGAGTTTGATAAAAAAACATGCAAAATTGTAGTGACGTAACCTGAGACCGCTCGGTAGATCTAAACTTGACTGGAGGATAAAATGGGCCTTGTTGACCGACGCTCATCAGACTCAGGACAGCTTCTGTGAATGCGGTGGTAAACCTTCGGGCTCCATAAAAGCACCTAAATCTCGGGCCACTTAGCGACTGCTAATTTCTCAACGTCACGTAGTTAGACGTAAAATTCCTTGATCGAAAATTGAAAAAATAATTCTGCAGCAAAAACTTTGTCAGATGCAAATAAACAAAGTCGGTGATACTGGTTATGTTTTGGACTCTATCCAACATCGTCTGCGGAATAATGTTTTTCTATAAGGCCTAGGGACTCAAGTTTCGAAAGACAGATCTTCCTTCGTCGTCTTGTAAGAAGGGCAGAAATTCTGTTGGATCCGGTAGACCGAGCCGGATGCCGATCTGTGGACCAGACGATGGATAAAATCCAAAACAAATAAAGCATAATACAATACCAACGCCGAAGACATTCAGAGAATAATGCCAAACAGACTTGGCACCTCTCGTACGTGCGTACGTACCTAGCGAAGGCCCAGGCCAGAGTCCACTCTGCGACGGAGCTCAACCTACGGTCCCATGCGTTCGTTCTTAAGAGAATGGAGTTGGCGTATAACTATCGCTGGCTCCATCAAGGAAAACAAGGATGGATTGATTCTTAGGTTATTTATCTTTGCTATTTAAAATAAAATATTTATTGTCGATTGAGATGCAGTGATGGTAATGGATTTGAGTGCATGATCTTTCGGGAGGAAGTAATAATCACCTATCTGAGGGTGCTGTTCTGATATTGGGGTATAAAATCTGCATACATTCACGAAACCCCATAACTTGATATAAACTAGAACCTGCCTGAGACTTACATCGGCCTGCTATGGAAGAACCTCAGTGTGATGACTACCAGTACTGTCCGATGTCAGCAACCAACCCCCCCCCCCCCCCCCCTCCACTGCCCACGTACCGAATGACGAGGAGACATCGTCGCTTGTAAACAAGGCACTGACTGGCTACGGAACGTTCCCTGCTCTGGGGCCACTGGTTCGAATGCCACAGTCGAATTAGCCTCACTGCCCGTTCGTAAAATCAACATGCAGTATTTGTAAAGACCGTCTTACGTAATTCAGCCCAGATGACGCGTCCCACTGCTTGTTATACGGATTATAAATTTGACGTCTCCTTTGGAGTGCAGGGCGCCAGCGTAATTTTGATATTTACGAATTCATTTCTAGTTTATGAAATGCACAACTGCACCCGAATAAGCATCATTAAATAATATATTCTTTTATTACCGATTGCACATTTTCACATAATTCATTATAAACTTACATCATTTGTTTACTAGTTGCATAATTCATTTATAAAACATAATTGGAATCATTATATTGTTCCTGCACATTAATACAGTTTAATTACATATTATTTCAGTCATAAATTTATTCATACATTCCTGACGTCCTTGAATACTATTGCATATTCGCAGTTGGCAGGAAACGCAGTCCTGCTCGGTTACACGAAGGGATAAACACCCTCCCTCCTCCCTCACTTGACATCGGCGTCCTCGTGAGTGGGTCCGGCCGCTGCCACGAGAGGACGAGAGTTCTCGTTAAGAAACGAGACTTGGTAACGCCTTCTGGTGGCCACTTTCCTATCGAACAGATGCACACAAAAACAACTCTTACATCAGTAAATTCGTTGCCTTCGCTTTCTTTCAGAGTTCAGAGCTGAAGTAAAAATAAATAACCGTGTTTTACGTGGTCTTCAGCCGCTGTTCGTTTATGCGAGAAACTTACTCTTTGCGGTGGCGAAGGAGGCGCCACTGCATGTTCCTCAGGGCCCTGGGTACCGTAGCCACGGCCAGGACGACGAGTCCCAACAGGATGAGGCCCACGGAGAAGAACAGCCCGATCGCAGGCAGAGCGAGCAGCAACTTCAGCTTCCCTGCGAGCTCCGGGGTTATCCTGACGCTCTCTTCGAACCACATAATCGGGAACAAGACGGTGGGCACGTCGTTGTACAAACTAAGGCGAGAAACGCGGCATTAAGTTCAGCGGCCCCCTTGTTCGCCGGACTTCAGCCATTCTCACCAGGTCTTACGGGAATTTAAAAATATTCGTAGTAGCCTCAACGTTTTCCAGGATATTCGTCCCAAGGGCATTTACTTTTCGGCCAGCGCGAACAACGAACGCGTTTCAACATCAGGTGGGGGGGGGGGAATCCCCACAAGTTTAAAGAGCTGCCCTCTCGATATTTACACGGTCAATGCGAACTTTTATTAACGTCGATTTCAATGTTACTTCCCATCTGCACTTAGTTGTTCCAAATAATATCCCCACTTTTATGTCTCCGAGTAAATTGTCTGCATTTCTGATGTCTCCCGTTCGTGCTACACGCCCAGCCGTCCTCTCCATCTTTTGTTTAATCGCCTCAGCAACAAATGGGCAAAGCTTCCTCTAGACTTGTATCACTTACACACTCTTCGGTTCAAATATAAATATTTTTGTGCGTGCACTTAAAATATGAAGTCGAATCGACATCCGAGTTCGTGAAGTTGGTATTACCACGAGCAGCTTACCTGATGCTTCGACTGGGCTGCAGAAGCAAGTTTATCTGAAACCTTCCCGCCACGTCGAGGGGAATCCCCGTGGTCTGCAACAGAAACGCAATAATATTTCACTGTCAGTCTTTGAATCTGCGGTCATCAGTCGCCCGAGTCGTATTTCTGGACGAGGCTGCAAGCTCTAACGACGGCATTAGACTCGCGGTCAGTGCGTCTTATTTTAGCGCGCCGAAAATTTCCGCCCTCTTTTCAAATGCTACCAACCTACGAGCAGTGATGAATGCAAATCTGCAAACAAAACACGCATAAGGAGCGTCACAGGTTGACTCACAGGCTCCAAAGTGACGTACATCCGGTGCTTCTCAGGATTAGGGCTCATTCCTTTGATCTTCTGGCTGAAGATTGGGTCGGCGTCGAGGAAGTGCGGATATGACACGAACCCGGGAGCCCCATAGCGGCATGCTGATATGTTGAGGACACCCTGGGGGACGCATTCGCCCCCGCAGTTGCACCAGGTGTCAGGGTCCGCGGTTCCATTGTCCATAATTGACTTGCTGCCCGCGTAAACGTACCCGGGGATACCCAGAACCTCCGTCTCTTCGGAATAGTCGAACTGAATTGACCTGAAACCAAGCCATTACATTTACTGATCTTTTAAGTCATTAAAATCATATTACTTGCTTTTTGGGGGCAGTTTCAGTACGTAACGAGATCACAAATGAAATTACGTGCATGCACCTACGGAACTGTGAGTATGCTTCACGCACAACACACGCGTCGGAGAAGTTGCCGCCACAGCACGGCGCTACACGGCAAGCTGACGCCAAAGAAACTAGGACGGAAATCGAACGTCCTTGGAGAAAATTGTATCTAAAAAATTGTCTTTCATTTCCTTAAAGATCGTATTTTTGGAGGTTTTATCGCATAATTCTAAAATAAGAAAATAAGTATCAGATCAGTCAATAATCTAACACTCCATTCCAACATGTCTTAATCGGTCCGTGCTAATATCAACGCGAGGGTTTCCGTACTTCTAGCAGTTTTAAGATCGGAAACGGGTAATGTTTTATCCCAGAAAATGAAATTCTGCTACTGACGTAACCTAGATGTCGGTCCCTCCAAAGGCGAGCATCGGGATGCTACGAGTCACGACGCCGACACGAGATTCACGAAACAAATTAAACTGGGGACGCCGTCGGTTCGACGATGAGGGCTGCGACGTGACGAACTTTCGGTTGTGCGGAAGGGAAGACCGAGTAGTGTCGATAAGAACAGTGCATGACCTGAAACCGCCTTAGCCAGTTCTTTCAGAATTAAACACATTTAAGGCGCATTGAATCAAACGCGTCGCCTTGATCGTAAACAGGCTTCCTTACTTGCAGAAGTCAGCTGAAAACATCTGCAGAGGTTTGTCCTTTTTCTGACCGGGAGGAAACAGGTCCCCAACGGAGCCTTTGATTTCGCCGCAATTCGCCTCGAAGGAGTCGGAGCGATTCTTGAAATTCCACGCCCTGAGAACTCCAATCGTTGAGGTGTCTTCCTCCCCAGTGTCCACGTTGAACACCCCTTCGTGTTCTGACGAATCATTTCTCTTGTAAAACCAGGCAAATTTATCCGCTGTAAACCGACTCTGTGTCACGTGGGGGAACTTCGTGGCAACGGTCAGCAGAGGATCGCTGTAGCCGTCGAACATGAACTCTCGCACCGTCCGTGTCACCCAGACCTTCTGTCCGGTCATAAGAAGTGTGCTGGACAGCGTGTACTGTATGAAGGAACTGCGGAATCTCGAAACGTAAGCCGCCGACTGGAACAGGAAGAACAACGCGTGACCCGCGGACCGACTTCTGCGCCACGTCTTGTTCAGTATTGGCTGTACTGATCGCAAGTCTTTCTAGCGCTGCCTGCGTTTGGGTAGCAAACAGTTCACAGCGTAGTTATGGCAACCCTCCGACCTCTCCCCTCGCATAAAGAACCCGATACCCCAATAATTACCCCGCCTTTTATGTAACCTGAAGATTTATTACGGAGTTCAAAGATCCCACTGAAGGTCGCTACCTCGGACCAGGTACATCAAGTACGCTTCCTTATGCCCTAAATTTACTGGTGAAAGTGGTTGGGACTTGTTACTATCCTCCGTGCGGACAGTGCAAAAACGTCAGTGAACTCAGCGCCTCGGTCTTAAAATAGCAAATGAGACGCGAGCATTTGAACCCAAGTCCGTCTGCATAGACGCCAGACATGTTATTGTCACGCAGAACTCCGTGCCGCTGACATGTATCCTTACGTACCAGGGCCACGGGGTTCAGCGTCGTCACACTGTCGTCCAGTGTCCCGTTCGAGTTCTCGCCGTCAAAATACCAGCGCCGGAGCCTCCGGAAGGTGATAGTCCTGTTCGTATTCCACGTGACGTTTGTCTTCTCCAAGAATTCCCTGCGAAACGGAACAGAAAGGAGCTAGCGCCAATCGGCGAGGAATAAAGCAACATCGTTACCAGGGGTAGACAAATCGCCCTTCGTTAGACGTCTGAAAACTTGAAGTGAAAAGGCCACATAGGGCGGGCGCGCGTAGATGGATCGTAACAAGAGGGTCTGACGTGGACTGGATCCACTCGTCTTCGCTACTTACTTGAACCTGTAAGGCCCCATCTCTATAAGGTTGGGTCTGAAACCTTCGTTCATCAGTTCGTCGGGATTGGTCCAGTTGAAGAAGTACAATTCCACCGTCAGGGGCATAGGCGTCTTCTGCCACACCGAATACACAGCAGACGTGGGTGTGAGACGCAGTTCCTGGAACCAGCAGCGTCACATCATCATCATTGCAATTCACCGAGGCCGCCCTTCGTCCGCGTGGACAAAAATTGGTCCATGCGACAGCCTGCTGACTTGCACATCGCGGAGCCTGAACTTCGCTCGTGTGCGCGTAAATATGAATGAGGATAGTAAGATCAGAGTCGGTTGAATCGCTTACCCACAACGACGCGCCAATTTGTTAAATGCTCACGGGGTCGGCATGCGATTAAATAAGCGGACATCGGCTTTTCTTTGAATGAGTCACAAAATGCATATGAAATTCCTGAATTCCCCCGGAGGGCATGAGGAAACCTCAGTCTGAGCCTTATCTCCTAGTCTAGATTCGGAACCTGAGTGGTAACCACAGCAGAACTACATTCTCTTACCCTGCCCGACGTCAAAACTTCGTGTCTTTGGGTGCTGATACACCAGCTATCAGACCGCGTCTTATATGAAGTTTCTGCACTCCCACCCCTAAGTGTAAACGGCCTGATTTGAGCCTCGTGTGCGTAACATCTGAGACCGTCACCAGTGATCACGGCGACAGCGGCTCAAAGGTGTAATTTTCGTTGCCATGGAGACGGTGGTAATATTATCGGTTACTTACCTTTGCCATGATGAAGTTGAAGATAACATCTCCGCTCAAAGTAAGTAATGTGCCGACGAGGGCTAGTAACAAAGCGACCCACATGAGAATCGAATGCCGGTCCATAACGAAACTTACGACAGTCTTAGACACTTCAGTCAACTGCTGTAAAGAAAATAAAATGCGAGCAATTGCTTCGTGAGTGCAAATATTAACTCTGTGCACGCACGTTCACGTTCACGTCCAAGGTCTAGACCATTCCCTGCAAGTCCATAGTTAGCGGAACACAGAAATGCGAAGACCACCAGGTGAAAATCTCCGCCGTCCTCGACACTGGATGCATGAACACGGCGACCACAAAGCCACTCAGACCTCGTGCGGAAGATGGGAGCCCGGGATTGATGCATTAACCTTTCCCTTTGCGCCCCGCAGAAAATGGCTCAGGGAATCTACCAGCAGGGGGCAAAGCGGCCGGAACGAACGTGTAGAATAGCTGGAGCTCCACCGCCTTCTCCTCTTTCGTGCCGTGGGTTTTAAGCAAAAACACTTTCATTTTCGTACGAGAATAAAAAAAATCATGTTGATGTCGGACGGAAAATAAAAATATCGATTGCTGTCGGGAAGCGAACAATGCTGAAGCCCTGAAAGTAATGTCTTCAACAGAAATTTTCATTCACCTCAGGCCCGCATAAATCATCCTGAACAGATTCGCTGCAACGTCCCCTGCCCTCATAACCTAACCTCAGCAGTTGATGCCCTCGGGTTTGAACGCGTAAAATCGTCAGCGAATTAAGCGCTGAAATTCTCTTATCAGCGCTCTGTTCGCGCAACCGACCTCCTCAACGACCATGTCCGCGTCCTCTAAGCTTTTCTCTCTCCTGCTCTTTGTCGAAGAATTCGCTTTCACCGTTCTGCATTCCAATTCCTATGCTTTGTCGTTCTGCATTTACTTTGTTCATCTGTGGTTGTTTACCAACTCGTGTTTCCCTGTAAACGTAACATCTACGTGTAAACTTCATATTACATTCCGTGTAGCTAAACATCAACCTTGTTCGTAGAGTTTATTTATCTAGTTCTAACTCATTCAGTGCCTTCGATTAAATGCTGGAATGTTTAAGATCTGGTGGGTGTGTTTGAAGGCCGCGCAAGAAATACGTTCGGGCCGACACATTAATTCAGAATAGAACAGCACAGATCAAGATCTGCCAAGGGTTTGAACCAAGCGTCTTCAGGCAACAACTTACGAGGCCGATTGATTGTACGCACTGCAATGTCAGTCTGACCACAACAGCGAACACGTGACACTTCACGTTCTTCAGACGGTGAGTATTGTGATGACTGTCTTCTGCGTTGTATATCCCTGATTATGGAGGCAGCAAGAACCTCTGGAACGTCGGTAAACGTCTGCCAGATTACTCACTTGGCGCTAGAACCCAGTAGACAGCCATCCTCGGAGAGTACCTCAAATCCAACCGCGTACACAGACCACAGCCGCGTCATTCTGTTGCTTCGCTCTCAGATCCAAGTCATTTCGTACTGTGTCCTGACCCCAAGCCCTTCTGACGTAGGACCGAAGGCAAACTGCGTCTGCAGGCTAGGTTAGCGTGTGCCTACATTTCTGTCCAAATTGGACAACATGAACTACATTTTAAAATAATTTATGTTGATTCAGAAAGAGTTGTGGCGTAGAAGGCAGATTCGTATTAAAATAAATAAGGTCGTATGTTTCGGACTGTATTTATCTCGCTCAGAATACGGACTTTTGAACACGATAATGAAAGAAAGGGCATTTGACTAGCTGAGCGACAGTTAGCATCTCAGTAAGGTCTATACTCAATGAAGTTACTTATGTACATTCATACATCTTTCAAGGTCATACTGGTAGCCATAAATTATATTAAACTCTTATGTAATGAACTCCAAAACTCTCTGAGGGACCAATTCGTCTAAATGTTTACGAAATTAATTTCCGACCTCAAAGAAAACACAACGTGGCTCCATTGCAAGTATCGACTGCTTAGGCATAATTACCACTGTGTTTAAAACGCGACGTAGTCTCTATACCGACCAGCACAAGCGTCCACAAAAACGTCCCTTGTTGTGCGCTTGTATAAAGTTCCTATCTACGCACATTTGTCGCAAGTGACCTTTGCGTAAATATTTCCTGCTCCTCGTTTCATTTCATTTCGCGTTGATAACGACGAAAAATCTGCCTTAAACACAAACATCAAGACCGTCGCAGGTCCGAAACATTTCATAATTACAGTTCAAACCTTTTGAAACAGAAGATTTTCTAAATTACGTTTTACAATTCAGTCCGTACGCGAAAGAAAACACTTCACCATTACAAAGATCAACTGGTTAACGCCGTTTAAGGAAACAATCTCTATTTGTGTGCACTGTACCCACCTCTCGTCAGCGCTGCCCCGTCCGACGGTAAGCAGGGTTAGTCTGGCTATGAGTTGCGTACGCACTGAAGCCACGAACCACCACCGATCAAGGACAACCAGTGAAGTAAACCAGTCAGTTGATACACCGGTCTAGAACTCGAGCACTCATTTATTACAAGTTCCTTTCAAACGGGACAGTAAATTTTCGGTTGTCACTGCATTTTCACCTTATTTTCCTATTTTTAAAGTTTTCTTTTTCATTCAGACCTGTTTCCATTCTTCATCGATGTCTTCTAGACCCACCCTCCCCCTCCCCGTGAAGACAGGACAAGGCACAGCATCACGTGTATTCGAAATCGACGAATGAGAACAAGATAACGCACGGCTCTTATCTCACACAGCGAGCTAATTTCCACGATCTTCCGATACACTCTTCTTGATCTCAAAATTCGCTCGACGACACCAGCGGCTCAGCTCCCGAGGAATCGGTCTCAGCCTGATGCCGGGGAAAGGTTTGTAATTACTCTAAGGGCTCGACGCGGTTTGCAAATTCTAGCGAGCTAACACTGGCGACGTTAAAACATATCTTAGAGAAACTGCGTACGTTACAAACGACGGTGAATTTTGAGAACGCAAATACAATGATAACGCGAGAATTTGTGTTGGCATAACAGGTCAAAGGTTAACGGGCTGATATGCTGGAGTGTCTTCAAGAGGCCAACGATTATCACAAGCCTTTTCAAGTCCCAGGACACCGTCGCGGGCCACCGCGTCCGGTTATGAGCTCAAATAATTGATGATGTACTAAAATGAATTCGCACAGATTCGCATGGATTTTCGTTACTGAATTTATTACTTTTATTGATTACTAACTTGAAATTCTTAGTCATACTAGACGATACTGCACGAGGCTCGCAGAAATCATGGAGTGCCACGAGATAAACATTCGTTAGGGCCCGAAGGTTCGTAAACTAACTATGATACGTGCATTCTGTCAGTCAGTCCCTCAGCCACGTCTGTTTCATCCGCCAAATTCCTTTTTGTCAGTGTTTATTCTCCTCGCACATTTCCCACTCGCCCACTTCTTACGTCAACGCCTACAAGTTGATCAGCTAAGCAACAATTAAGTCTCTTCTTCGCAGTTCCCTTCGATTTGAATACGCTGATCGTTGCTCATTTTACTACTGAGTTCATAACATGGACCAAAACTGAAACGAACACCTGACACAAACAGCTGTCATTTATAAACATAAACATTGCATTGCAAAAATAGTACACGCTGACGTTGTCAGGAAATGCTATCGCAAACAACGGGACATATCACAAGAATTCTTCCTTAAGTATTTGTAAGCGACAAACAGGCGCCATGTTCTTTCGTTTGCCGGCTGACGAACGCCGCTCGCCAGAAGTTCGAGGAACCTGGAAATAAGAACGAGAATGAGACACTGGACTCCAGCACAGCCTGGACAGTTCCAGACAAGGAAGTTAAGTCAGAAACAAAAACCACGAGTCTAAGCTGCCATTGCGTTAAGCCCGCTTACCTGCCTCACGCAGACCTTCACTTTTCAACGAATTTATCATCACTTCTATTTTGAGTCTGCAATCTCTGACCTACGAACTGAAGCCAGTTAATTAGCCACGTGATCACGTGCAGTCCGGGAAACGTCGTGAACTACGACGACAGACGACACTGGAGCTGAGCTTTCGTAAACACGCCCCCTTACGCACAACAGAAGAACGGCTACTTGTATGGCGCACTGAGATTCGAAATGCCGATCAGATGATCAAATGTCTGCTTACTTACGAAACGCTCAGGTTAGGTTTAACACGAGCACACAGAGGCAGTCACAGGACCGCATTTCATTGTATGAGATGAATTTAAGAACCGTCTTGGTCATGCAAGTGGTCTCTTTCCTTGAGATCGTACATTTAAGGTGATCCATGTCCAAAATGTCACAAAATGAGCGGCGGTTTGCGAAAATGGGGAAGGAAAGAAAGAAAGAAAGAATGAAGCATCAAAACCCGTACTTCAGTTTGCAGCAACCCACACGTGTTGATCTCGCCTTGGCGATCCATGGCCGCTGTTGTGAACATCGTATGACTACTATTAGAATAATAAATGTGTAACGTCACTGATCCAGACCTGTTTTATATGAAGTGCGAATTATGACATTCCTGAAGGAAACAAGAAATTGATTTTCCGAAAGGCAATTATTGTTCAAGATCACGTTGAAGGACAATCGCAGGCAAATGGCGGTCGCTTAAGAGAAAAGCCGGATAAAACGAAGGGTCCACCTTGAGTCAGGGATCTCGCCGATCAACCTGCGTTCTTTATTACCAGCTTAAGCCGGTTTCGCACGCGGTGTGGGAGCGACCAAGACTGCAGCCGCGCGCCGATACGACCTGTCAGTTGCAATTCCAGGTTCTGAACGCGATGACTACGAAAACTGCAGTCTTCTGCGTAGTCGGCAGAAATATACTGACGTTTCACACGTGCTTACTGCCTCCGTCATCAGGACATTATAAATAGGCACATTTTCACTTATCACTGTTACTTGTTACACAAGGTCACGCATTCTAATGTCTGTCGTACAATCGCAAGATAAAATCCGGGCCTCCGGGCAGCAAGAAGGGTTCACACGAGGGCGCTTTGCCCCTTAATTGCAGGCCTTCTCTCCCCGGAAGAAATAACACTCCCCTCCCCCAGTTTACTTAAATACTTCGTACATAAGCGTTTATCAACTACCGCAAATAAGCCGATGTGAGGCTGCATCTAAGGCGCGGCGCGGACGGCAGAGAGACCTCAATTCGAAGGCGTCGCTCCGTCAGGCCACTAAACTCCGGAAACGAGCGCAAGAGACAAGCAGCAAACTGAATAAGTAACTCACCAGTTGTCCTACGTCTGTCTTCTGCCTGTCAGCAAACCAATGAGGGCCGTTTTCTCCTTTTCCTTCTTTCGCACGGAGTCCATGTTCCTTTGTCTCCACGTGCTTTTCCTCAGTTTGATGGGTCGGCTACCTACATACCTCCCTGTCAACAAAGCAACGCATGCTGAAGAAACTTCCCGTCTCAATGCGGAGGCCACAGAGACTTCACATCAAATGTTACCACTGCCATGTACCATTCAGTATTACAAACCTACTAAAAAAAAATTGCACTATATTATATTTCCGCCTACAGAGATTGCCAGTGTCCTAAAAGTTTTAATCATCGACGTATTCGCATACGAAACTTATTTAAATGTGAAAATGTCACCATACAAAGTACAATACCTTTATATATATATAAAGGTATTGAACTGGCGTCGAATTCATAACGTGACAAGGGCATCACGGCGCCATCTCAACACTTCACAAATGTGATTCAAGACCTTAGACCAACAATGGCGCGTCGCGACGTCTAACATCGCGGCGCCCTCGAAACACGTAAAATTTACAGCATGTCTCCAGACGACACTGAACACGAAACTAAAAACCGACGCCGAGCGTAGCGACGCCCTACGACGTTACGCCATGAAAAGGCGCCAGAAAATGTCTCAAACCTTTGGTATAACGCTGGGCGTGATGCTAGAAAATCGACGCCGAGCGTAGCGACGACTTCGCAGGAAGAAATTTTAACGAAGACGACGGTCCGGCTGCCACCGGAAAATATACAAAACCGACGCCGAGGGTCGCGACTTCCGTAATCGGATCGTGAGCGTCGAGGTGACTTTTAAAATAGAGTGGGGGAACGCGGCGCCGACCTCGAAATATAACTGAAGCCAACAGAAGTGTTGGGAACCAAGGCGAGACGCAAAGCGTCACGACAAACGGATGTTACAGAACATGAGATAAGTCTCGGTATTACTAAAACACTTCTAATAAGCGACGCCGTCGAAGGTGAACGTGGGAAGATGAAGCAGCCTCTGCCCTCGCGGAGACGTACCCCACCCACCCCATCCCTCGATGGACTCATACTATCTTACGTTACGTACATCTACATTAGATGATCTTCTAGCGACGATTTGGAGATGCGAGGAGGACATGATTACCAAGGACATTAAGGGCGTCGCGTATCGTCCTACGCGTTGTGACTGACAGAATGCGACTGCGACTAGACGGCCCGTAGGAGCACGGCCACGTCTGTGGACAATACGATCAGTTTCAGATCGCGTTATTAGACGCAAAAAAGGACGCGATGCAATCCGCCCATAGTTTCCCAGAAATGCTGAAACTAGAGAAGATGAACAATGATATCACAATTACAAATGCTGGCTCTCACAGTCGCCTCAAACAGCCTACAAACAGAAACTTCAAAACCAATACGAGACTGAAATCCCCTAAAGAGAGATAAATCTGACAAATATTTGCTACAAGCGAACTACAAACTGCTACTATAATCGATTCTCATTTCTCGAACACGTATGGGGCCCGCGAACAAGGCGTCGGTTTCCGGGCCGACGGCGAGGTCGCGACATTCGTTTCAATCCACGCATGTGCTGGGATCAGAGAAAAGTGTGAAATACGGCCTCAGCTAGAGCCAAGATTACGCGGAATGAGTGGAGCTTTGAGCCCACACATCTCTTATACGCCACAGACGAAGATTAAAAACGACTGGGTTCGATTCCCGGCAGGGGCACGGCGTTTTATAACCTAGGTCCCGCGTGCAGATCAGCTCTGGGGGTCACAGAGTCTCGCGAACAACGGACATGCCGACAAAGGATGGAGCTGACCGCTCGCCTGACGCTAAAGATATTTCAGTTTCCACGGCGGCGCGTGTGAAGACGACGAAGTCTTCTAGGATGTTACTGGTCGTGACCTTATTGAAGCACGGCACAAACATTATCCGGGCGGCTGTTTCAAGACCATGAACCAACTTCTGAAGTTATGTTATGTTGAATGAGGTATGGAACTGGGTGTCACCTGTCGAGGGTCATTTTAAGATTCTGTCCCGAAATTTACCAGAGAGGACTGAGAGAAGCCTCCAAAAACCAGTCAGTACAGCCAACCCACGGCCGTAATCGAACTGGGTACCTCCCGAAAGAAGTGAGGAAAACCACGAAAACTATGTTACGACATCGGACTTGGACGTCGAGATTCGAATTGGCGGCCGCTGGGCGCAGGACATTACCACGCCAGTGGGAACACACTCCCACGTGCAATCTGTCATCGGTGTGCCCCGATCAGAGGGTGCGCCGCTGTTGCTGCATGTACGCGTGCTCTCCCTCCCCTCCCCAAACACAAGGGTTGCTCGCTCGCAGTCAGGACACACACAAACGTTCACCGCCACCCGGAGGACGGAGTGCTCGCGCCGTCTGCCAGCTCGCCTCATCACAAGTGAGTACTGCAACAGGTGGTCGGCTGCCTGCTCGTACCTTCTATCCAGACTTTCGTTTCAACTCAGCAACCCTCCTTCACATTCGGGGGAGCGCGGCCACCCTGACCGAGGACCTTCGAAGTCTTCTCAGCCCTTCGGGGCGGCTCCACCGCCACAAAACAGTCTCAGGGGCTCAAAATATCGTTAAGCAAAGCAGAAATAAATTAATAAAATAAAAACACTGCCCAGTTTTATCAGGAGATCGATCTTAATACGCTTACTTTCACATACGAATGTGGTCTTCGTATTATGTTCGGAACAGACATCCACGAAACAACTTTTTACGCGAACAGAAACTACATATTTTTAAGTTTATGGCATCGGCTTGAAACTTGAAACTTAGCCTCTGTTCTAAATTTTAAGAAATGCTGGCTCAGACTGTACCGAAGAATTATTACTTACAAACAAAAATATTAACGAGAATGCTGGGTGGGGTGGCGTGGGGGGTTGTGGAGTGCAAATACTTGAAGTTGGACGTTAAACAATACGCAGTGGTTCGTATTATCGACCTGCGAAATGCAGAATACCACCCGCCACACAACTTGAGACCACAGATGTGTTGGACTTCGTGATCGGTGTGGGTTCTGCTGAAGTAATCCCTGGGTGAAGGGTTTGAACGGCGTAATCTTATTTTGCGGGGAAACATTTCGAAGTAAACTAAATGTTGCGACTGGGGGACCGCTCCTCCGCGTCGACGGATTCTGATCTTTTCATCGTGTTCACGAGAGCCCGCCACTGAGCCCTATCCCGAGCCGGATTAATCCCGTCACACCCTCAAGATCCATTTTAATATTATCCTGTCATCTAAACACCCTATTCCCTTCACGTCTTCCCACTAAATTCTGATCCATTTACTGTTTATCCCACGTACGCTATATGCACCCGTGATATTCGTTTTCCTTAATGAGGGGATAATATTAAAATGAACTTTATAGAAATATTGTGCGGACTGGATTCAGCTCGCTGACGATAGGGAGCTCTCTCGCTCATTGAAGACGGGGAATGTCTTGATCCCACGACCAAGCGCCATTTTCCCAGTTTGCAGAGAAGTCGCTACTGAAACACGCGTTTGTTGCGGTAATTTATTTACACTAAAACAACATGTCGGTCGTGCGAAATTTTTTTGTTTTCTTTTCGATTTGACAGGGATAAGAAATTGACAACTGCGGCTGGGGAGACGGATAATGAACATACAACTCGGCAAAATTTGAAAGGCGTACTCTTCTGAGTACACTGACATTTAGAAGGCGTTTTTCACGCCACATCACGTAGGTCGTTGTTACACTAATTTGGTCCGACGGCAATTTTACGCCGTAGGCCATTCCTGCACGCATGGGCGGGCCCATGATGTGTTCTTCGTTCACGCTTCGGCGTAAATATGACCGGAGCGGGACTCGATCGTACGACCACCTGACGCGATAGCGTGAGTTGAACTGCATTACCGGAGCCAGTGCAGTCCGAATCTCAATGACGATGAGCCGATTAGAGTAATGATTACTTAAGTCAGCAGAAACACGCATGCACAATTAACTAACACACTGCAAAGTTCTTTTATCGAGTTAAGCGCGAACATAAATCACTGGCAAGACACAACTTCTGTAACTTTGTGCTAACTTTTACGGAACGCCAAAGAATAAGTTCGTTGAAATTAGTCATTTGGTTCATTAATTTTGCATCGCCTACTTAATGTCACTTAACAGCGCTGAAAATTATGCTTAAAACTTTAAACGGGGTAATCAACGGTTAACACCGGAGCCTGAGTGTACATCAGCACTCGCCTATCCCGTAAAGATTTACCCTGGCGCATCAGCCCCACTGAACCCTACAGAGGCTTTATGGATTATACTTTGTATTTTTCCAGACTTTTTAACAGCGTGACAATCTGGTCAGGTGGAAAATTAACACATTATAGTTTTAATTACACGCATTTTTTCCCATATACTGCGTGGACTAAGACGGATAAGTTGCCTGGGCTTATTTTAAGTCAGTGCCGTGGAACTACGCGCCGAGAGTAGGCGAAAACTTGCGACGAAATCCATCGGATTTTTAACGACGACTTGCGCGGTCCGTTCACTGCAGACACGATCTGCTGACGTCGGGCACGTCCTACTGTTCCTCGCATTTAGCGAAGTGCCATTCCTCTAGAGCGGCGGGTCTTAAGGCTCTCGAACTGACCTACGCGGACCTTAATTATACATTTCGTCACACAACTTTCAGTAGAAACGGCGGAGAACCTTGACTGGGCGACCAGTCAAATGCCGATCAGGAAGACACTCGGGGCCATGGCGTGGGGCAATGGCGGACAGCGCCCTGGATTGAACCGGGTTTTCCGCGATAAGGAGTCAGTGCCTCGTCGCCTGAGGCACGCCACGGTCCAAGACAGCAAAGAAATTACGAAAAACGATTACATTTATCTGTCCCATACTCTGAAAGAGTATTCATGAAGGCTTTCCTGTGCGCACAGCAAAATCTGAGAAAACTGGACAATTTTATTACGCGTAAGAAGAAAAAATGAACGCTGTTCAGAAGTGGCCAACACAAAGCAGCGGTCATTTTTACGTATTTCTAGCAACATCATTTGTTCTCTCCATCCAATTATCAATTACTTTCTCGTAATCACCTCATTTCCTCTTAACTTAATCAGGTTTCCTCTCATTATCATCTTCCAGTCAACA